AAAAAAAGATTTTATATATTTTTATATAGAAAGAAAATATATTTTCTTTGTATCCTATAGAATTTCTTTACTTTGCTTCCAATTTGGGAGAACAGGTCTTTGTGAACTCATGCAGGGACTGTGTTTGTTGAGATTTTGTAATTTCATTCCTACTCCCAAGTTTCTGTCAGAAATTCTTCTCAGCTGTTTGTGCTTAGTCTGTCATGAGGGACTTCAGAATTCGTCTCCTCTTAATCAATAGAACAGCTTTTTTTCTGATGCTTTTTGTCTCCTGTTTTCTGCATAATCATGCTGAGTACATTTTGACCTCTCCATTTTCCTTTTTTAAATCAATACAGTTGAAACAGGCTTTCAGGAATATGTCTCCATTTGGGTGCCAAAACATGCAGGCACTCTATTTTTTAATCTCTAAGTTCTTGTTCAAAATGAAGGCCAAGAGTGGTGAACCCTTGGAATAAGCTTTTCCAGAGGCCAAGTTGCTCCTTCCCAAATCCACCTTCTATAAATTGGTGCTTTCTACCTTCAGTGAACACAGTTCATAGCCCTTTTTCTCTCTGGATTACAGAGAGAAAGACATCAATTATAGAGAAATAATCATAGAAGGACCCTGGACTTCTGTCCGTCGGCAGTTCCCCTTCCGTCCGTCGGCAGTTCCACTTTTACCAGTTGCCAAGTAGTTACTACAAAGTGCTGTTTGTCTCCTCAACTGATTGCAATGCCCTAGTGAGAAACACTCGGCCCCTTGAAGGATTAGGCCCTACATCATTTCTAATCATGTTCTTGGCTCCTCTCTAGCGGGTTTGGGCTTTAGCTGTTAGTCAAGCTGAGATGGTGGAATGGCATGAAGAGTTATGAGAATTAAAGATGGGAAACCTTCATCAGTTTACATTGCCTGCACTTGCACCAAGATAGGACTCTTCAGAGTTGCAAGTAATTGCTTTGAGTGAGTTTTGTAGCAGTCTATGGCTGTTCCTTCAAAGTTTGTAGTGATATCAGTTAAAGAACAGTAGCTGTAGTTATCTACTGGGTTGGGATTCCTTAGAGGTATGATAGATTATGACTAACAAAATGAATGTCACTTTGGCTTAGGGATTCTTTTACTTCAAAATGGTTACATTGAAAGTAATAAGCAAAACAATAGAGAAACCAGTCAACATAGGATTCAGTTAGAATATTCTTTACTACTTGCATTAATTACCCCATAGTCAGATAGCTCTGTGATTAAATTTACGTTCCTAAAAAACCCCATTAAGACAGTTTGAGTAGCTTAATTCATTTCCTCTGCTTTCATACACAGATCAACTTGACATCATTTCAATGGCTGAAACAACAATGATGCCTGAGGAAATTGAGCTTGAGATGGCAAAGATCCAGAGACTTCGGGAAGTCTTAGTCAGAAGAGAATCAGAACTCAGGTTTATGTAAGTATCAATACTTCTGGGAAAACACTATGCAAAATTAATCAAAATAGGAAAGAATGCTATTTAGAAGACTTTTATCTGCTTGACATTTTAAAAGGAAGAAAGATAAAGAGCATCCCAGTTAGGTGACTGCTTGCAAAATGCCATTGGGAAATGATTTTTGTAGTTGCAAAGGAAATTACCTTTTTTACTCAGCACCTTTTTTATTCAGCATGATTTGCAGAAGACATAAAAGGGATCTATTACTTACAAAGGGAAACTTTAGCAAAGTACGTGTCTACAGAGCATATTTTTATACCTGACTTCAATCCTTTGTGGGAAGAATATTTGTCTCAAGAAAATACCAACAGGTAGGGGATTTGGAGCTTCCGCAGTCTAACCTAATTCAAGCTTTATTCCTCACTTCATTAGTGGTCTTAGACAGTTCATGTCACAAGAGAGCACACTCTGTTCTGGACTAATAGCAGCCAAGACTTGACATTTGTTAAATGGAAGCCATTAAGTTATGAACAGAAAACACATTTTGATATGTCAAATTAAATAGCAATACTCCAAGAGAGATTTTCAAAACTGCCAAAAGGGTCAGGCACAGGAGCTTCACTGAAGGTTAACGAATATTAATCCAGTTCTAATGATGAAGTCAATAGGGTTTATATTCCTAAATCACTCAATTTAGAAGACCAGGACTTATTAATAAGGAGCATATTACTTTGAAGTCCCATCTCTCTGTGAGTACCTGAGGTCAGAAACTAACGCCTTTGCTGACAGGCCAAGAACCTCAGTAGATCTAAAACCTGCTTAACCCAAACCCTTGGTATTAATGAAGCTATAGTAGCCTGAAAAAACTCACTTGCTCTCTTCTCCCTTTAAAGTAAAAAGATAGGACTGGTACTTTAACCCTTACACCTGGAGGTTAATTTCAGTGCCCTGACTTGCACTGCCAGGAGTTGAAAGCCTCACCCTCAAACAGCACAGATATCTGTCTTTGAGTATTATCCCAGAAGACTTCAGCCCAGAATCACTGCTTAGACACCTTTGGAAATGAGGACTGGTAATAGTGACACTTTAATAATGCTGTAGTGGTACAAATAAAGTAAACAGGAAAGGTTTTGTCACACCTGCTCCTGGTAGTCAAGTTAACTACTTGGTTATTGGCTTGTACATAAATTTAATCTGGAAGAAGCGTCATCATTGAACCCTGTACTTCTCTTGACGTTTTCTATATCAAACAAAGCACTGAAGTAAACTGTCCCAGTGAATGAGAGCCATGGCGGACATCTGCTTGTCATCGTTTTGCACGTTCTTCACTTGTTCTGTTTGTTGTTGTATCCAGCCTGTTCTTTTCATTTTCTCCATGGTCACACTCAGCACACTTTTTTACTCTGTATTGCCTAGCAGGTGTTTGAGTAAGGAATTTAACACAGAGGAGCTTGCTTATTGAAAAGGGAATATAACTAACATTCATACTGTGCAACAGTACTCTTCCTGCATTAGATATCGTCCAAACGCGCTCTGCCTAGAGCTACCCAAGAGCACTCCCGAGCCGTTCACTGGCTGAGTGAGGAAAGCTCTTCTGAGCATCGAAGTCTCCACTAGGTTTGGCCCTAGGTATTAACAAAGCAGGCAGATGACAGAGGCCAGACATGGCCCCACTTTTTTGTCTTAGTTTTAAGTCATGGAAAGCGAAGCTTGTTGCTGCTGGTACTGTCTTCAGCAAGAGGGACTGAGATCTGTGCCACTGCCGCAGACCCTCTCATTCCTTCAGCAGCAGCAGGCCAAGATGACCGCTTTTCCAGGGATATTCACACAGCTTTCTAGCCCAACTGCTCCCTTCTCTGTGGCATGATATCCTGATACTGCTTATTAATCCTTGAGGCAGTTAAATTCAGTTTGTTAATACCACCGAATAAAATGGTGAGATAGTATCTGTCTCTGCACTGGGACTTTACTTGCGAACCAAGACTGCACTGATTGTGATTTTTCAAGCCCCGTGTAGGCTTCCCATCTTTCTAAGCGCATTTACAACAGGCAAGTTCTTCATACTGGCTCATCAACTGTGAAAGAAAAAGCAGCCTCTCTCACTCACGAAGGCCTCCATAATTAGAACATGCTTCTCTTAATAGCTTTTAGGAGTCAAAAAAATTGTCTATTTGACTTTATCTCATTTTTAAAAATGTTTTTACATTTTATTCCTGACAAGTGAGAAGCATGTTGCTAGTGATGCACAAGTAATATAGCAGCACCTGTTCTTTACTGCCTTTCATTCTGGATAGTTTACACTGAGAGAGGGGCTCGGTTGCATTTGTCTTCAATGACAAATGTCTTTTAATGACCTTTTGCTGAGATTAACAGCACAACTCACAGTTACCTTAGTGGTCCAAGTTCTGTATCTGTTTAACTAAGCAAATTACATAAACTATAATTCATAGACGTATTTTGGAAGACTTTATATGTGGCCATATTTGATTTTTTTCAGTTGTTTCCTGAAGTAATGCATTGCCAGTGTCCCAAGATCAGAAGTCTGTATGTAGGTCATGGATTTTAGTAATTGCTTTCTTCTGACAGGACTAGATTCCCCTATGAATGACCTATACAACCAACGGCATGAAACTGAGCCACCTCAGACAGGTTTAAGGCAGACTCGACTTTGAACATGTGGCTGCTAACTAGGAGTACTACACCTACGCTCAGACCACTGAGTTCAAGACCAGCTTTAATGAGAACCAGATCTCTTTAGTTCTTGCACCTGCTTTAGCTTTTTGTTCAATTATAACAAAAGGATAAAACATACATATCGTAATGGAGAAAATGTGTGGTATGTTTGTATTCTTCTTTTTTCTCCTCATGCTGTTAGCAACAGAGTAACTTTTAACTTGAGTTAAATTGGGCTTTTTAAAGTTCTTATAAAACCATGAACACGATGAAATAATTCCGTATCACTTACACATCCAGCGACAGCTTAAATCTCTAGCTAAGTTTTTAAAAGTAATGGTTCATTCTTCTCACTGTCTCTCTGTATGACTGATTATTTTTTATTCACATGTAGCCAGATCCTAAAGTTAGGACAAAGTACATTGTAGCTGTGCTTTAAAAAAAAAAAAAAAAAAAAAAAAAGGAAAGCTTGTGCTCTGAGTGTATCACCATCCCTAATGGTGGCTGTGGCTCCCTCCTCTTAGAGGCCTACAGCCTGTCAGCTTTACTTAGACACACCAGCAACTACTATAACTCTTCACAGCACAGACACTATATTTTAACAACATTCACGTTCAAGAATACAAACTCAAGAACAAAACACTACAAGCTAGACCTGTTGCTGATGGAAATCAGAGCGAGCTCTTCCCGTCGGAGTGATGCAGGTTTAATCCATGGAAGGAACTTGCTCTAAGAATGCTAATTGAAATTACTGTTTTCCTTGAAGATGCACAAAGAAGATCGAGATGGGTTGATAATAAAACTCACCGTTACTGATGTTTGAAACAGCTCTGCAACAACAGATGTTGTCTTTAACTGTTATGTCAACATTTTGCCCAAACAAATGCAGTAGCCATAAAATACGGACATTTGGCAGAGAACTGCTCGAGGTTAGCATATGAGCCAGTACAAAGACAAACAAACAAACAAACAAACAAAAACAAAAAGCAAACCCAGCTAAAAAAAACCCCTACCAAGGTCTGGATGCTCAGCAGACCTAGAGTTGGTTTGCATTTTTCAAACTTCTGTGCATGAACCAGTAAAAACTTTTCCTGCTAAAAAAATGTCTCTCTTCAAGTGACATGAACTCTACATGAGGGAGTCGTTAGTAAAACATACAGACAGCTTTCCTTGCTTTGAAAGTTAAGGCACTGAGGCGCTATTTTTACCATAGTAATACTCTGAGGTCCATATTCCCTCTCCCCACTGAACAAAGTATCACCAATGACTAATGAAGTCTGTAGGACAACAAAAGGGATAAAATGAAATACGCCGCTCCTATGTCACTACACAAATGTTACATTACGGTACTCACAGTTGGTAGCACTTCAGTATCTAAATAAAATCTTTACTGAACAGCTCATCATCGCTAAAAGCTTTAGAAGAGTCACCCTGTAAGGGTGAAAGAAAGAGTGGGATGGTGAAGAAATAACAGCCAGATACTTAATCATTATTATTTCAAAGCAGGTCCTAAAGTAGTTGAGAATAAGGCAGTGGGATTAAACTAAAAAATGAAAAGATTTAATAGTATAAGACTTAAAAAGTGGTACAGAGTAGTGTTCAAAAACCATACAAAACTGTATGTGGTTTGTTTTCCCATACATACCCAAGCAGGCTCTGTCTCATCTGTTAGCCTGTGTCTATCAAACATACTATGAGTTCCACAGACTTAGATTTTCAGTTTTCAAAATTAAAGTGAGGAAAATTTCAATTATATTTGAACAAATTTCACATACATTTCTGTGATTAAGTATTGAGTTAAAACATCAAAGCTTGCTTTTTCAGTTTATGAATTTCCTCCCATCTCTTTGCAACAGTCGCACTGTGAATAAGCGAGTTGCTTTGTTCTGTACTGGATATTAAAATTACTCACGATCTTTGCTCTGGGCCATCGACAGAAAGGTTAAACTCCTCAGGAAGAAATTTTCCACCTTTAGAAAGAGATTTGGACACTCAGTCAGCAACAGTAATTCACACGATACTGAAGCCAGTCACCAGATAAGAGACCTCACCTGCCTGCAGGTTTATGATTCTGGTTAAAGAAGGGAAAGGGCAGCAAAAATTCCGTTAATAAGGGGCACACTTTATTTTTAAAGTTTGGAGGGAGTCCTTCATAGGAGCCCTCCCACTGCAGAGCCGCGCAAGGCAGTGCTAACTGCTTGCCCGCACAGGTGAAATGAGCTCTGCAGCCACATGAGACAAAATGGCTGCCATTCTGTGGCAGGTCGCAGCTCAACCACCCAATACAAAATGGCTGCCTTGTCTGTGGGGCCACTGCAGCAACCCTTCCCCTTACACCCACCTTCCTC